TTTTTTTTTTTCTAACAACAGGTATTTTCGAATAAAACTCTTCGATCGAATTTTTTAAATGAATTTTTAGTCGAACACACGTTGTCAATATTAAAGGGTTTTTCATACGCAACCAATTGCGCAAAATATCGCGGCGATTCCGATATAGTTGCTGAATATTTCGAATCGCAATTTCCTCAGGTAACGTTATATGGTTGTAATTGTTTATTTTGATTATAAATATATCCACAGAATCGGAACGATTCTTATTTCGCACGATTTTTTTTCCCCTACTCCTAACCCTCCCTCCTCCCTCCTCCCGCTACCCACCCCTAGCAAGATATAATCTTCTTTTATTATTTGTTATTTTTTTTCCTCCTCCTCCTCCTTCTCTTATTTTTCTGCTGTCTCTACTATTGGTGGTGGTGGTGGTGGTAGCTGAAGGCTCGTTTAAAATGCAATAATTGTGTTTACCGCGAATAAAAATAGGTATTCTCGAGAAAGACATACAGTTTATGGAAAGCCATATTGGTGGACACGGTTAACATATTAAGTACGTTCTCATGGAATTTCGTCGATCTTTTTTTAATTCTCGTAAGCATGGCACTGGCGGATCAATTTCAACAATTGAACAGTCGTCTTAATTCCGTCAAAGGAAAGGTATAATAATTATTTCGTATAAACCAATTTTTCTCTTTTCTTTTTCTAAAAATTCTATTTCTTTTCTTTTTCCAAAGACTATGCCGGATTGGTGGTGGGCCGAGGCTAGGAACGATTACAATCATTTGGCTGGTTTAACTAGAAGAGTTGATTCTCATATATCAACTATAGTATTTCTATCATTCGCCACCGATTTGTATTTCATTTGCATCCAACTGCTGTTCTCATTCAAGTAAACAAAATATTCACAATTATCATTTTCTTATTACTATGATACTTTTGTTATAATATTACGATTAATCGTCTTTTAAAATATCAAATACACAATTATCTCTTTACACCCTCCGTATAGAACCTAAAAAGCTAATAATATTAAAATAATTTGTGATTTGTTTCAAATGACATAAAACAATAATACAAAAACGAAAATAAAACGAAAAAGTTTACAACGAAGTCACATACAGAAGATTTACTTTTGTTTCTCGTTTGGATTTCTGCTAACAAGAACTACGGCAGTTTCGTTGTATGCGGCATCCGTTCATGATGAATCACGATTACCAGCACCTATACTTTACAGTGTTTCCAGTGCCAGTTATTCAACAGAGGTAAAATCCAATATATATATTATTAATATTTATTATTAAAATAATTATTTTTATATAATATATATTATATATTAATTTTCGTAATAATTTCAAATACAAAAAAAATACTTTATCTCAACAGCTAGTTTAGTTTTTTATGGGACATCATTGATAGCATCGTTGTTGTTCATGAAACTAGCCAAATTGTGGCCATGCTTAGCATTGACATGGGAAAAACTCGAACGTGAATTTATGTTCAGACATCGTAAAGTTTCTCGCATAAGTCTTGCTGGAAGATTTAAATTGATCACAGCTATTGTCATGATCCTGGCATTGAGTAAGTACTTATAATCTGTTTTCTTTCTTTTATTTCTTTTTTTTTTT